AGAAATAAATGGCCTTTTTAGCAAGTGAACCATCGATAAGGAAATGTTGGCAGTTTTCTCAAAAAAGGCTTGAATTCAAGAAGTTTTAGATTTGCGTTGTTTTTTTTTGAGTTGCAAAATTCACTTGAACATGACGCTGCTTTTTTCGAAGTTTCTGCAGAACCATTCGAGCCACAGAATTCGTTTTGGCGTCGTTGGATAGAGAATTGAAAAGTCGATTCAGTCGTAACAACGTGACTGAGGAAATTCGAGTAGTTTTGACCCAGAAAGTGAAATTTGAATATAAGAGACTTAGGTGCAAGATTATGCCAAAATGTCATGTTTTCCGTCCCGTTTTTGCTCATATCTCGGAGGCAGAATGAGCAAGAACGCTCATGTGTACATCATTCTAGACAGAAATAAATGGCCTTTTTAGAAAGTGAACCATGGATGCGGAAATGTTGGCAGTTTTCTCAAAAAATGCTTGAATTCAAGAAGTTTTAGATTTGCGTGGTTGTTTTTTAAGTTGCAAAATCCACTTGAACACGACGCTGCTTTTTTCGAAGTTTCTCAAGAACCATTCGAGCCAGAGAATTCGTTTTGGCATCGTTGGATAGAGAATTGAATGGGGGGTGGGTCATGACCCCCCCCCCTTGGATCGCCCTTGCTTAAGGTTCCCGAAAAAATCCTCGGTTTCAAACAACGACCGAAAAAGCCCGTTTTATTTATTCTGCTAACTTTGGGACAAAAATCACACAAACTACTTTTGCTAAATAAAAGATGAGTGTAGTTTTTGCGGAAATGCTAATTTGAAAAAGGGCGTTTGTGTACAATAAACTGCTCAACAAAACAAATGTTACAGAGCCAAATGTGCCTCAACTTTGGATAAGTTCCGATCTGGAGATTTAATTTCTGTTTGAAGCGATATTTAGTCTAATTATTTTTATGTCAGCAAGTGTTTTTGGCAAAAATTTTGTGATTCGGATAAAATTCCTACAGGGTGGAAAATAAAATAATGCAAACAGGCTAAATGTTTGACATGCTCCCAGTTGCACAGAAAAAGGTTTTTGGATTTAGGCACCAAAACCATAAAGGAAAACCTTCTATCTTGAGACAGTTTTCGGGGTTTTTGCCTATCTCTTGTATTTACAGGGTGTTCAAAAAACTCCAAAAATCGGTCCAATATGAAAATTTTTAATGCTGCAAGCCCAAAAAGTTGATCTTTTTAGCTCAACCTGTAGGTAAGAGATACATGCAGAGAATTGAAAAATTGTTTGGAACTTCGAGGTTTCTCTTTGCGCCATTTTTCCTGAAATCCGAAGATTTTTTTTTTAATTTAGGGCATGGGGAATTCTCAGAAATTTTGCATTGCTTCGTTTTCTACCCTGCAGCACGTTTATCTGCAGCACTAAAATTTCCCAAAAACACGCACTGACTGAAAAGGAATTGGACTATAAAAGGCTACAAACAAAAATCAAATTGCTCGCAACGATCAAAAGTTATCCAGTACCAAAGTTGGGGAAAATTCGGCCGCGTAATAATTTGAATAATTTGAACTAAAAAAATCGAAAAATCAACTCATAAAATATAAAGAAGGATCAAGCAAACAAAATGCACAACAGACAAAAATTAATGAAAATAAAAACACATTTTTGGATTAAATTTAAATAGAAAATCCTTGAGAGATCAATTCGAAAAAAATCGTTAGCTACTAAAACCTACCTTCATAATACCAAAATCCATTTTGACAAAATCACAAGTTCTTCAACAAATCGGCAATTTTCGAAACGACATGCACATGAATGGGCCCCGAAGATGACCACAACTACCATCAAACTTCTGCTGGCATCCAACAATGTCAAAAAGCCGCAAATTACGAGGCCGAACCGTGCAGAAGGAATTATAGGGAAAAACTCAAGTTTGCCCAGTTATATCGAATGGCATAAATATTCAGGAGCTTTTTTCAAGTGGGAGAACCATTCGAAGCAATCTGACGGAACCAACCCCTCTCTCAAGTTGTTCTGTGCGCTGCCACTGGCATGGAACCCACCCAACTCGCATTATCTACAAGGCGAAGATTACGGTTTCATTAATCGCTTGAACTGAAGCACGAGCACCGATAGTTGAACAGTTTTTATTTTCCCTCATTGAGTGTTTGGAGTAAATGCTTAGGTAGTTGTAGATGCAGGCAAATCGACGCTGAAAAGGTCCATCAAAAATTTCTTATCGATCTTCAGTTATTATTCAGCAATCAACCGTAAAATTCACTGAACTTCAGCTTCAATCAGAACCTTTTTTGATGCTTGTAACAATCGCTGTAGCGTTCCAACGCCGATTACAATAAAATGATTGATTGGTTTTAGATGGCAATTGAGAAACATGTGGAATTATCAAATTTCTAAATACTCCAAAATTGCTGTTATTTAATATTTCGGTATTTAATAAAAGAATGTCTAGTTGTTCTCAATGAGCCAATGGTTCCATCGCACACCCGCCAATTAGGCTATACAGGGTGGCTCAAAGCCTCAAAGCTAGAAACTTTATCACTTTCTGGCGAATTTTCACTCTGTTCCTTGGGAGTGGGTGTTTCTTTTTTAAACGCCCTGTATAAGTATAGACATGATGATACCGGCACAGTCAGAATGTGAAAACAGTTGACTTGCGGTCGGTTTTTTCTGGTAAATCAATCATTCTCTTGAAAAATTCCCGCTGTAAAATCGTCACTTTTTCCTCATCACGTAGTTGAAAAATTGGAAAGTCGCACGCTCTGTCCGATATCTGTCTATCTATATGATATTCTCCACCGATCTACTTTCGAGAATTTGGTGCCAATTGTTGTCTCATAATCGAACCAGATAATGGGTTTTATGCTAATTTGGGCACTTCAAGTTGTTTCATGTTGCGCCAAATTCATTATTGTTCGGCTGCTGGACAAAATTGAAAATTGGCGTCCACGCAGTGCATGATCGAAAAAATCTTCTGCGCGAATGGACAAACAGAGTTGCGAAAAATGCCATGGGTTGAGTAAATATTGTCAAAGAGTTTGGCAAAGAGTTAAGCAGGTTTGTTATTATTCGATCTGCAAATAGCCATAAAATTTAGCGGATTTCCCAACGCTTCAGTACTTGAGACTTCTTCAAATATTTTGTTGGATAAGTAAACTGTGATATTTTTCACTTACTAGCGTTTCGAAGATTTGTCTCTCCATCAAAATAAACGAAATTGTTGACAAAATTACCATTGATTTCCACTTAAACAGTGTTTTAAGTAAATTCTGTCATTATTTCTCCGAATGCAGCATTTTGCAATTAAATACTTCCCGGCCGGGTTGGCATATAGGCCCACTGACACAAACTGCCTATGCTTGCGCGTGGAAATTCAGGCCTACTACACCGCAAATCGACGGTTATATGCCAATAAATGATTTTAAAAATGTAATGCATTTGTAACTAAAATTAGTTTAAACACGTAGCAAGTATTATGGAAAGTTCAAAATTGTTGAATAGTTTGTCACATTAAGATAAATGTTTGAATATTGCCAAGAAACACTTAGAAAAAGTTATCTCTAAAATGTTGCCTTTTTCGGACTCGGACTGGCCTCGGAGCAGCCACTCGTGCTTGCGAATCTGGAAAGTGTCAGAAAGAAATATAGCGGTAATTTTTTTCTGATAATACAGCGGTTTTTAGGGTTTTAATTAAAAACTATGGATTTTTGCTAAAAGAGTTTTCCTCCCAACTCAATGAATAATTGAAAAAAGTTTTCGTTTGCCAAAAAAAGCTGGTGTGCACTTTTTTTCTGGAAACTATCAAATGTTAAATTGTGTGGTAGTTTTCTCGACAATACAACGGTTTCTATTTATTTATTGTGCATTTAAGCGGAAAAAGCCGAAGGATATTTTGTTCCCAATTGAACGAAGATTTTAATTTGCAGAAAAACCATTGGCGTGCAATGTATTTTTTTCTGGGAATGAATAAATGTGAAATATTACCATAATTTTCTCGGATACAACGGTTCTAATTTTTTAAATCGTAAATTGTGCATTTTAGCGGAGAAATTGAAAAGAGCGTGTTTGCTCCCAACTGGATGGAAATTTGCGAAATTATTTTGATTTGCTGAAAGCCCATTTGCGTGCATTTTTTTCCAGGAAAAGGGGCACAAATGCTTAATATTGCGATATTTTTCTTGGACAAACAACGGTTTTAAATTTTTTAGAAACTAATTTTTTTTTAAATAATTTTTGTTTGCCGAAACATTTTTTGAAATAAAAACTGTGTATTTTAGTAGAAACGAACGAGATAATTTTTTATTTCTTCAGTCATTCCTTCTCTTAACACAGTCGTAATTAAATGCTTCCCGGCCGAGTTCGCATATAGGCGCGTTGACAGAAGTCGTCTATGCCTGCCCGTGGAAATTAAGGCCTACTACACCACAAATCGCCGGTTATATGCCAATAAATGATTTTTAAAATATGATGCAATCGGGAAAATTAATTTATGCACTTAATAAGTAATGAGTCCAAAAAAATTAAGAATTCAATTGAAAATATTTTTTTGAAATCGAAAACTGTGCATTTTATCAGAAAAACTCAAAAGAGCTTTTTTGTTCCCAACTCAATGAAAATTTGAAAATCGATTTTTATATGCGGAAATCCCATTGGCGTGCATTGTTTTTGTTTTTTGAAAAGGAACAATTGTTAAATGTGCGATCATTGTCTTTCGGTTCATAATTATTTAAATCAAAAGCTGTGCATTTCAGCAGAAAAACTCGAAAGAGCGTTTTTCCTCCCCACTGAATGGAGAACTGAAAAATATGTTGTTTGCCAAAAAAGCACTGGCAGACACTGTTTTTTTCTCTGGAAGTAGGAAAAATTAAATTTGTCGGTGTTTTTCTTGAACCATTCAACGGTTTTAATTTTTTAAAGCCAAAACTGTGCAAATCGGCAGGAAATCTAAAAGAGCTTTTTTGTTCCCAACTAGATGACAAATTGAAAACGATTTGGCCCACGTCAGTGACGTGCACTGATTTTTTCCTGAAAACAAGCGAATGTTAAATGTTTTCACTGAGAGAACTTTTTTGTGTGGAAAATAGTCGCGTAGCAGGCAATATTTTCCAGTGGCGCAGAAGTTCCATCCAAATTCCATACCAGAAACCTCTTGAATTACCATAATAAGAAAACCTTTCAGCTAAAATCGAATATTAATGGCAGAGTGTTTAAAAAATACATTTTACATATGGAAACAGAAAAAACTGTATTCCACTCCAATTAACAGGCCCAGATTCATCAGCATTATTTCGCCGGATATTTCTTCTACTTTCCATAGCAAGTGGTCAGTTCTTTGATAAATATGGCCAGTGTTAATCAATGCCGATCATATGACTGCGCTCTCTTAGCTGCGAAAGTAAATTGTACTAATTTCGGTGAACATGTTCGAAACAAACGGAAACGCCTATAGAAAAATGATGTTATTAAAGTGTGTCATTAAAAAAAATACGCCTTTATTTGAGCCGAATATCAGTTGTTCAGTTTCCAAGTGCAGGGCACTGGGTCAAGTCGATCTAATCAAGTTCTCGATGATTTTTCGGATTTTTCACCTGAAAATGCCTGCTTTGCATAATCGAGCCATTTCGACTCGGTTGCAACATGAAGCTCTTTGAAACGAATTGAGAATTCATTAGCATGTTCTATAGTAACTCTTGTCAATGATTGCCCCATTTAAATCCTAGAGGCGATATGCAAACCATTGACATGAGACCATCCAGTAAACAGTTCTGTCGAAATTATTTAAATATCCATGCTCGTTGTTGCCCACATTCCGTTTGCAAAATATTGTTTCCAAATCCAACAATTAGAATGATTAATTGTATATTAATTTGTTTTTTTTTGTTAATGTTGTAATTGCAGTTTTATCGGAGGTTGGAATAAAACGCGCCGATGTTTTAGAAGAGATAAACATTAAACGAAAATCGAAGGAACTCATTTCCACGACGGCTTAAAGACTGGAAAAGTTTTTTTTCACACAGTGTATAAAAAAGGTTTGCTGAACTAAAAAGTTCAAGCTTCAAGCCTGTAGGGGAATGCCTAAGACGATCCAAAGTGGACCACATTCAGCTATTAAAAACTGGTTTTTAAATGAATTATTGATGAACCCTAAAATGCAAAATTGATTGCTGAATGAAATTTCTTTTTTTTCTCTGAAGAGAAAGTAGATTATTAAAATTTGTATGTACATAAATTCCCAATACGCGCACTCAAATTAAGCCGTCTTCGATTACTCAGCTCGTATTGGAGATGGCCGGAAATTCGCGTTAACTACAATAAGTTAACCGATATTGAAAATTAAAAAAAAGGACGCAAACGTCCCCGAAAAAATTACCATTGATTTTCACTTATACAGTGTTTTAAGTAAATTCTGTCATTACTTCTCCAAATGTAACATTTTGCAATTAAATACTTCCCGGCCGGGTTGGCATATAGGCCCACTGACAGAAATTGCCTATGCTTGCACGTGGCGATTAAGGCCTACTACATTGCGAATCGTCGGTTGTATGCCCATAAATTAGTTTATTCTTTTAGCCAGCAAATATGTTTTCCAGAGAGGAAACACCAAAAATATTTTGCCTCTCCCAGTAAAAGCGATAAATTACGACAAGAAATTTCTTGGCTCACTTGAGCAATGACACCG